ATTTCCCCCTTTCCCAGCAGGGAACCTGAGTGTGAAGGTCCCTGATCCTTCAAGACTCACTACAACTGCTGCCTCCCCAACATCAAACCTTTCCCTGACTTCTGCTCCTTCATTTGGCCCACAGTGGTGATGTCCACCGCTGCATGCTGCATCCCAAGGAAACACTCACTGCTCACACCTGTCTCACTTCCACAGTACACCATGAGGTCCCTGAGGGAAGGCTCTGTCCTAAGTCCCCTTCTCTGTCTTCCTTGGCACTTGCCTGTACCATTGTGTGTGGGATCTGGATTTGGGCACACCTGGATTCAAACTCCAGCTTCCACCCTCATCAGCATCTGTAAAATGAGGTGGTGATAGCATCTTCTCCTTAGGCTCAAAGAATTAAGTGTACCCAGAATGCTCAGCCAAGGGCGCAGTGCACAATAAGCACTCACTAATCATCTGCTTGCCATGACTGTTTACTGCCACACTGGCATTAATGTATGTTTGTTGGATGAGCTGGGAATGCCTGCTGACGCTGGGCTGAGCAGGCTCATCTCCCTGGGAGACAATGGAGATGGGCTGGAGGTGCCTCATCCCTTGGCAGTTTTCCCACTTCCTTCCCCTTGCTCTGTGCTGCCCTCAAAGCTGGACCCTCCAGCCTCCAAACCCTCTCTCTCCTGCAAGCAAAACATGAAAAATAAACTTGGCTTTGAATCCAAGGCCACGGATGCTTTTGATCTCTGTTACAAAGAAAAGCAATTATTGGACACAAAAGCCTTGATTTATTTATGAAATGGGATGGACATCTTTAGGGTGGGAATGAGAAAACTCACTTAAGACCAAGTCCTTATGGCCACACAGTGAATGGCTGCTTTCAAACACAAGCCCCTGAATGCCCTCTCCTCTCTGCGAAGAGTCTTTCCTCATTAGCGCTTCCTCCAGAACGCCACAGCTTCCATCAAATTCACATCACGGCTGGGGCAAGTAATTAAATTCTGCAGGCATCAGAGCATAGAATAATGGATGGCTATTGTTAAGGACGTTGAAGAAAACAGAATGAGACTGAAAATGGAGTGGGCTGCAATGCTCGGCCTCAGACATGGTCAGGGCTGGGAAGAGAGGGTGAGGGAGATGCCACAGAGCCTCCCAGCTGGTCTAGGAAGTGGGGTGACATATCACATTGGGCCAGGAGTCCAAATCCTGAGTTTGGGGCCAGCTCAGTTTACTCATCTGTCAAAAGGAGATGGACTAGATAAGTCATTCTCCATGTGTGATCCTCACACAAGGGGCACCAATGGCTCCTGGAAATTTGTTAGAAATGCAGATTCTCAGGCATTCCTTGGTCCTACTGGATCGGAAACCATCAGAGGGAAGCCCAGGCGTCTGCCTTGAGCCAGCTGTCCAGGTCATTATGATGTGTCCTAGACAGCGAGCTGCACTCTGAGCTGGCCAGACCTTCCTAGAATACTAGGACTGCTGCTGAATGTTCATCTCTATGGGTCAGAGAAGACAGCACAGCCCAGGGAAGATAACCAAGGTGGGGAGGCACAGTCTCATTGCAGGCAAAAACTGGGGATGTGTGCCTACTGCCAGGAAAGACCAAAACAAGCGGTCCTGATTGCTGTCTTCCAACAAGTGACAAGGTCTCACATGGATTCCATTTATATGGCCCTCAGGGGTGTGACCAGAAGTCAGGAACTGAAGCACTGTAAGATTTCCTTTCAGCATTGGGAGAATTTTCCATTGATCATGAGCCATCCTTTGAGGTAATGAGCGCCCTCTGGTGAGGGACATCTAGTAGAGGAAGGTGGACATCTTTTGCTTCTTTTCCCCCCTCTTCTTTTTTTCTGTTTTTTTTTGTTGTTGTTTTTTGGTACGGGGATCAAACTGGGGTCCCTTTCCCCCTCTTCTTGAAGGGCAGTTTTTCTAGGGGAAGCCTCTCCTCCACTCTTGTGGAGTTGAATATGCATCTGGCTTCAGGGGTGGCATCCTTCCCAGGCTAGTCTCTTGGAGTGCCACATCACCTGCCCACAAGCAGGGCTTCAGAATTGAGAACTCATGCAACCCATGCTGAGCCCATTGGTGCCTGGAACAGCCATTTCTAGGAAGAGGAACTTGAGGTGGGCAGTATGTAGACCCAGAGCAGCTCAGGGCCATCTGGTCAACAGGGAGACAGAATCACTTGAGCTCCCTCATCCCAAAAAATTGGAAACAGAAAAGTGGAGCAGAGTTGCAGAAAGACTGGGTCCTAATAACATAATCTTTGTGCCCCAGAAACCAGGCTCATCTTGGAAGAGCTGGAAAGTTCCCTCTTCCATTAAACAGTTGAACTGGATTTCTGTTGTCTGTAACCAGAAGAGCCTGGACCTCTCTGCATGGCCCCTAGGATCTCCTTCCTTTTCACTTTGCTATGGCTGACTCACACCTCCTTCTGAAAGCAAGGGCCACTTGCCTGAGCTTCTGGAATTTGGGGCTCTTTCTAGTCATCAGAACAGAGCCCCTTGTGAAAAGGGACATGGAGATTGAGGAAAAGGTAGCTATTAAGCAGGCAGGCCAGGCAGCCATCCAGTGCCATGCAGGGACACAGCCTAAAGCTGCTTCTGCCCCTGTACCACCTGCCCCAGCAGCAAGACTTGGCAGTTGGGCGAGGAGCAGTGCAGGCATGGGGAGGGCTTCTGTTCTCAGCCAGCTTTCCCTTAACAGTCACCTACTGGACACCATGCCTGTGCTGAACTTTTGACGGAGCACCTCTCCTGGTCAAAGCACCACACACACACACACCAAGCAGGTGGTGGTGTTACCATCTCCACTTCCCAGATGAGAACACCAAGGTTCAGTGAGACTTGTCCAACGGTGGTCAGAGAGAGGCAGTTTAGAGACAAACTCCAAATCATCAAACACACTGTTGACAAGGGGGTAAAGCCACCACCTCTGGCTTCTGCCCAAGGCATTCCCTCCTCCTGTAGAGTAGGGTGATGGGGAGCCCCTGTCTAGTCGCCGAAAGGGCCCTGCGGCCTCTCATCACACATGACACACTAGCCTCAGTTGCCAGGTTATATATAACTGATGTGACACAAAGGGCCTGCACCAGGCCCCAGCCTGTCTCTCTCCCAGTCCGCAGGGGCTGGGTCATTCCCTTTGTTCCACAGGCGCGGGCCTGGTAACGAGGCAGCCAGGAGCTCAGCTGTAGACAGTTTTTCATTATTTTCCACCCTGTTAACCTCCATCGCCAGTCAGGCTGCTGTCAGCCTAAATGAGAACTGAAAAGATTTATCTCACTTGTCCCAGGGCTCAGCTCAGGAAAAAGACCTTCATTTCCTAAAGGCCCTGATGACCCTTCCTGTGTGAGTCACCTCCCACCCAGGAAAAAGCCATTCAGAATCAGCAAGGGCTGGGGCTTGTGACAGGACCAGAAATCCCCTCTGCGCCTCTGCAGCCGGGCTTCATACAGCACTGGATGATTTTTTTTTTTTTTTTGCACTGTGTATTTACCTTCCTAACTATGTTTGCTTATGCAAATATTAAACTTAGACCGCATTTCATAAACACAGCCCCTGGAGGAGACCAGAAGCACATTGTGTGGGGGGAAGAAATTAGCCTAGGACTACAATTTTGCTATGGAAGTAATCCTCAAAGTGGACAATCCAAACCCAGACCATGAGAGATGATTATACCATATTCTTAATCAACTTCTCCCCTGCCTTGTGCTTCTTGCAATCCTCAGTCACCAAATCTCTAAAATTGTCACCTAGAAGAGATGAGCTTGGTAGTAATTGTCCCTCACAGTTGTCTGACCTTAGCCAGGTTCCTCTGAGTGCTGCCAGGGGCTCTCCCTCTGTCCTGTACTTGGGGATAACAACCCTGTCCACCTTCCCAACCTCCCTGGGGGTATTTTTATCCCCATTCCACAAGTGAGGAAACTGAGGCACAGAGAGTTTAACACACAGCTAATAAAAGATGAAACTAGAATTATGAGTCCAAGTATTTAAGAAATCTGCACCCAGAGGCCACATCCCAAACAATTTCTCACTAATGCCTCTCTCCTCCACACACACCTGTGTTTAACCTTCACCCTACCCTGGGGAAGAGTGGTTTAAACCCCACTGGATAGGCAAAGGATGAAGCCCGGAGGCTAAATGACAAGACCATTTTACAGATGAGGAAACCGGCATTCACTGGAGTAAATTCAGTTCTATCCACATATACACAGCACCTGGAGTGTGCTAGGTGCTGTGCAAGGAGCTCCAGATACACAGCCTCCAGGGACATAAAAAATGATGGCTTTAATTGGGCTTGGTGGCACAAGCCTGTAGTCCCAGCAACTTAGGAGGCTGAGGCAGGAAGACCACTGAAATCAGCCTGGGCAACATAGTGAGACCTTATCTCAAAAAGTTGAGAGGGACCAGGGATTTAGCTCAGTGGTTTCGCTACCTGCTGCGCAAGCGCAAGAACCCAAGTTCGATCTCTGGTACCAAAAAAAAAAGTTGAGAGAGAAATATATTTTTTGACATGGGAAAAGTGTGTAATAGGGTGTTATATACCTTGTAAGGTGATATAAGCAGGTAGTGCTATCACATGATCTCATTTGAGAAAAATGCTTCTGCACATTATAAAATGTATGAATTATAAGCATGCATAGAAAGTATATTTGCATACACACATCTAAAGAAATACCTAGAACATAGAAGTGATTGTTTCCAAGAGATAACATTTCGAGTGATTTTAATTTTTGCATGTATGCTTATCTCCCTTCTTCCCAATTCCCTTTGATGCATGAACACTGCTTGCCTAGCCAGGAAAGGACTGCCATTCTTGTGGTGGTCGTGGCTGGAGTAGCTGAGAACACACAGTCTTGCAAGGTTTACCCAGAGCTCAAACCCAGAGCTACAATCCCAAGTCCAGCCTTTCACACTGCCCTCCTGGTCCCTTGTCCTCAGCTATACCTGCCGGGGGCCAGAGTGTCACCATGCAAGCTTAGGGCTGAGACCTGGGCCAGGCGAGCTGGCCTGCTTGCCTACCTTTTTGAAGAGTCTGATGACATCCTCGCTGATCTGGGAGAGGCGGACAATGACATTATTCATGAAGATGTCATTGAGGGTGGCATGGTCTCGGCTCTCCCGCCGGGTCTGATGTAAGACCAGATACCAACAATTCACCGGTGACAGGAGGTACTGGTCCTTCCTGTGGAAAACAAGACAGTTCAGATTGGCTCCTCTAAACTGTCGGCATGTTTACATGGTCACCAACCTCTGCCTTTTGTCTCTCACCACACCCCTTCATGGTCACTTTGATTGTAAGACATTAGGAGCTAAAGTGACCCTCTATAGTTCAGAACAGCACTGGGCTAGAACCTGGCCAGATCTACAATTTTAAATCCTTGGCCACAAACTTCCCCCTTGAATGTAGCACTTACTGTATATGCCTCTACTCCTAGGGCTAAGGAGTGCTCAGCCAATTGTATCTATAATACCTGTATGATTTCTACAAGTATGCAATGGAAAGAAAGACAAATGGACACATCTTCCCCTTTCCTGACTCCCCAACCCCTGAGTGTTCCCTGGCTCTCAACCCCTTCGTTCTTCCCAGGGATCTCTTGGCCCCTGGAAACACAAGGCTGTGCCCTGTGCTGGAGCAGCCAGGAGGCCCTGGAGGGTTCAGATTCTGTATTTGGGGAAAGGAGTCAGGTTCTGTCCTGCAGTGATTGATAGATTCTTAGCAAGCTCTAGCTGGGCATAGTGCTAAAACAGGAGCTCTGAAAGGGCTCCTCAGCACTACCAGCTCCCCCTGCCAACTTGTCAGAAAATCACTTTCTTCAGCAAAATCAGAAACGCTGCAGTAGGGCCCAGCAATCTGGGTTGTACCAAGCCCTCCAGGGCATCCCTAGGCAGTCTGAGAATCACCAATTTACATCCTTCTGCTTCCCAAATGAATGGAGTGGAAAATCTGTCTCTTAACCATACTTTACCAAAGACCCCTCTGTTAGCCTCAGCAGAGAACACTTAATACCCTATTATCTAGGACAGCAGAGGGAAAGGCAACTAAAAACCAAAATCCCAATCAGGCCAATGCTCTTATCTTGCCACATGGAGTAATTATGCAAGACTTCTTGTCCTCCACCCTGAGTGTGTCTCTCACTCTGCTTTCCAGGGTGGAAAAAGACATGGGAATGGCAAGATGTGGGGGAGAGGCCACTTGAGGAGTTCAGAGTCCCTGAGGTCTTCCTTGTTGGTCCGTGTTCTGAATGGAGCCACTGCAGGCACTAGCAAAGGTTGCTCTTTCAGGAAATGCAGCCTCTGTGATCAGTGTTCTTGAGGAAGGTGACTCTGCTGACTCCTGGACAACTGCACCGTCCTCCCAGCGTCATGTGCAAGTCCACTTGCACAGGTGCTGCCCCCTCTTTCACCTTCCTCCAACTTCTGAGGCTTAGGAAGGTAAGTCAGGGGCCCACTTGACCTTAACATACTTCTCTTTCTGTTATGAAATGGGCTAAGAACCTGTCTAGACAACAGGAATTTGAGCAAAGGGCATTCCATTTAGATGTGGAGTAGATGTACTGGGAACTGTCTCAGGAAGGGGGAGGCATTTGAGACATGTTGCTGTGGGAGAGAGAAACAGACTTTTCTTTTGCTCAGTTCTTGGAAAGAGTAAGAACACAGAAGCTCAAGCCAGCCAGGGTCCCTGTGTGTTTGCTCCGACAGGTCCTGGGTAGGCTGTGGGCACTCACACAAGATGGGATGCCGAACTCCCTGGGAGGGACTTGCTGCTAGCTGGCTGTGGCAGAAGAAAGAGGTGGAGAAGAGGCAGCAGGAGTCCACAGAAGGGAGTGTGCAGGGTACCATTTGGCTGGAGGAGCCACAGCAGTCACCACCTTCCTCCCTCCCACTCTGTGCCACCATGCAGTCCCACGGGTTTTCACCCCAAGTTCTTCCCCACTGGGATAGTGCATGCTGTTCCCACCACCTGGAGTGTGCCAGCCCTGCTCCTCCCCTGGCCATAAATGACACCTAAGGCAGCATTCCCAAAGTGTGGCTCCTGGCCCACAGCCTTGGCATCGCTTGGAACCTGCTAGGAATGCAAGTTGTCAGGGTTGCTGCAGACCCCACAGTTAGAAGCCCAGCACCTGTGAGTTAACTGCCCTCCAGGTGATTCTGATATACACACAGGTTTGAGGACTTCTTGGCTTACCATTTGGATCTGGAGTGTTCACTGTCTGTGCAATTGGGAGGTGGCAGGGCCTTTAAGAGGTGGAGTGGGAAGAGCCGGGGATTTAGCTCAGATGAGCCAGCACCTGCCTGGAAAGCGCAAGTTCTTGAGTTCAATCCCCGGTACAGAACAACAACAACAAAAAAGCAGAGTGGGAGGTCTCTCAGGTCATCGGGGGTATGGTCAGATCCCAGCCCCTGCTTTCTGTTTCCCATTTCCGGGCCATGAGGTGAACAGCTTTGCTACACCACGCACTCGCAGAAAAATGTACTGTTGCCCACAATTGGACTGAAGGCAACAATCTGCCTCAGCATGGACTAGAACCTCCAAAACTGTAAGCCAAATGAACCTTTCATGGAAAGGGCCCCAGGCAGCCCTGTGAAGGTCATTGGTGCAGAGACACGTGGAGGCCGGCAGCAAGTGCGTGGCTGACACATGAAACTGAAGCATGGCACAGAACACTACAAACATACCGGGCACACACAGGGAGCAGCCAGGAAGGCTGGCCAGGCAGTGGCAGGAAGGTGGGGCAGGTCCAGGCCACCTTCTGGGGACCTAGAAGGCCAGGAAGGGATGATGAGCAGCCTGTCCTCCACAGACCTGCTGCTACGCAATAGCCATCCACCCAGCAGGCAGTCTCAAGTCTATCCTGGATGGTCACATCCCCCAACCTGTGTTGGGTGGAACTCAGGTATAGACCAAAAGGTTGACCTGTGGGCAGCCAGAATCACAGGCAGAGGTGGCCACTCTGTGGAAAGCTAGCCTCAGCCACAGTGGACCTGCACGGCCTGTGGCCTTGCCACCTGGCTGGCCACAGATGGGGGCTGTGGGCTGGGTGCCTGTCATCTTTGCTGTGTGACTTTATGGGGTCACCCATCCCCTGAGGCCTAGCTACTCAGAATATCCACATGAAGACACATAGGAAAGAGCTTGGCAGTCACTCTTCAGTGGTTCCTGTATAAAGACCTGTGTGGGGGGAGCCCAGAAATTGAGGTGGACAGACGTGGAGAGGTGCAGGGAGAGGAGAAGATTGCAGGGCTCTAAAGGCTCCGGTAAGCACAGAGAGCGCTATCTGTGCCACTGGCTTGTGGAGAAATGGCAGGAAGAGGCTCCCAGGCCGCATGTGGCAGAGCCAGACACAGTCCTAGGGGGGCTGCAGCCTTGACCCGCTCCTCTCCAGGGACTCCTTGGGCCTGAGATCCAGCTCCCTGTGCAGTAGCCATCTTCACCTGCCTGGCCTCACTCTCAGAAGATGTCAAAACAACCTAGGCTGGCTCTCTCACAGGGACACAGTCTGAGCGACCTTTCTGCTTTTCCAATCTTGCATCAAGTGTCTCCTCAGCAAGCAGAAGATGCTGAACCAAGATATAATGTTGGAACTTGTGCATATGTATATATTTTCTTTTTTCATGGCCAGAAAATAGCAATGAACATTTCTGGTGAGTCACAGCTTGCTTGCTTTCCTTGGCTGAAGGAGGTGTATATGAGGTTCCAAGAGACTGAGGCTGGAGAAGCCAAGCCTTGCCAAGCTGGTGAGTTAGGAAAATGAAAATATCAGTGAGCTAGCTCCACCAGCTTCTCAGCTGGGGGCCGGAAAATTCCGCTTGGAAAACAGAACACGCTTCCAAGCCAGCAGAGGCCCAGGCTGCAGACAAGCCCAAATCTAGAGCCCTCTGGGAGGAAAGCAAGCTCACGAGCTGACTCTGTCCCCGAGCACACGTCTTGTCTCTGCTTCCTTCTCCCTTCCAGAACTTCACAGGCCTTACACTGGGCTTGCTCAGGCAGCAGCCAGCAGAGCTACCTCTGACAAGCACAGCTTCAGTTAGGTCCCAGGCCAGAAAGGCAGGCAACCTCTGGCTCCCCAGGCTGTCCCAAGCAGGGCTAGGAATTCACTGCAAACTTTCTTGCACTTTCTTGTAGTGTGAATCATTAATTCAGCAGGTAGGAACCTAGGGCCTGTCTGGTTCTGCTTGTTGCTGAGACCAGAGCTGTTCCTCCTCCTTGAGGCCCTGCCAGGGCACCCAGGAGCTCCCCCTCTCTGTCTTGCTCCCCTATTTCACTGTCCTTACAGCACTGTCAGGTCTGACGTTTCTGGTCTTTGCCTCCCTCAGGGTCAGGAAGGGCTACACAGCTGGCCCTCGGAAAACACTGATGACTAAGACCGATAAGATGGTAGATCACAACATGGAACAGGGACCAAGAGAAATACTGCAGCAGAAGTGATGGCCTGAGAGAAGGCGAGTGTGGCCAGAGGACAGATGGGACTCAGAAGGGGTCGGGCAGCACAAGCCCGAGCCCTAGAGGACAGAGGAACACGGGGCCAACCTCATTTCCTGGAGCTGCTGCTCCAGGACCACAGACTGTGGGCTCAGACCACAGGGATGTGTGCCGTCTCACAGTTCTGGGCTGGAGGTTGATACCAAGGTGTCAGCAGGGTTGGCTCTCTCAGAGGCTGGAGGAAGTGGCTGTTCCAGGATGCTCTCTGGCCTCCCAGGTTTGGGGGCACTGTTTGCCATTTCCTGGTCGGCAGAAGCATCCCCTTCTTCCCTCTTTCATCCTCACAAAGCAGCCTCCTGAGTGGCCGTCTCTGCGTCCACAAATCCCTAATGCATAAGGCCGGCCATGACAGATCAGGGCTCTCCCCATGACCTTAGTTTTACTCAATCACCTCTATAGGGCCTTATTCCAAATAATGCCATATTCTGAGGAAGTGGGGCTTAGGACTTCAACATACGAACTTGATGGGGAAAACTCCAGCCCATAACAGGCTATCACGCCAAGTAGACCAGGGCCAAACAAGGAGAGTTCACAGGGTAGCCCAGTCATCTTCCCTGTGATCCACAAGGGGCCTACAGACCCCACTGACCACCTGGGGCCTCGGCCGGCCACCTGGCCAGCCCTCCCTCTACCTCTCTCTGCTTGAGGCAGCCTTCTCCAGCAGCACTAAAGCCAAGCCTGGCGTGGGTTTCTTCGTTCAT